CTCCTTGTAGGGATGGATTGCTCTCTCCCATATTCCCCGTGTCTCATTGTGTGGGAAACGTGGCCATGAGTTAGATTAAAGGCTCCTTAGGATCCCATTTGTCCCCATGACTAGCTTATGATCCCCTGGCTGGCAAGGACCAGGTGGTATCTATCTTTGCTTGTCCTGTGTCTGGCTCTGGGCCTGGCATAGAGGAAGCACTTGACTGAAATCTGTGTGTGAAATTAAGTCACCTGGAATGTTTTCTCAGAGATAGGTTCATCATTCTAAGCAACAATGTACCTATCAATTATCTGGTACCCACCCTGGACCAGGTATTTAAGTATCATGTCTCCTTTAATCTTCAAAGCAACCCCACAAGGTTAACAGCTTATCCCCTATTTTAGAAAGAAAGAACCCAGGACTCAGAAAGGTGAGGCATCTCCTCAAGGTCACACAGCCCCAAGGCTGCCAAGCCATGGTCAGAACCCAGGTCCGAGTCATGGCAGAGCCTGAACGCCTTCTATAAATCATGCCGACTCCTGGGTCACTTGGGATTTACAGAAAGGAGGCTGGGGATGGGGTTGCTGATCTTCTGGATGGATGAGGGATTTAACAAGCTTCTGGAGGCCTGTGATGACTGATGGATTGTGATTTTTGCACAGGGGGAATCAGCTTTGGGAGAACCAAGGGGACGTCGGGTTCAGAGGCAGACGATGAAACGCAGTTGACATTCTACACGGAGCAGTACCGAAGCCGTCGCCGCAGCAAAGGTAAGAGAGTCTTTGAGAAGGTTCCAGAACCAGTGTTTGGAGGAAAATCTGGGAAGCAGCTTTTGTGCTTCACGACAAACCCTGGTCTTCTTCAGCCTGGTCCCCATCTAGTTAACACTGAACTTGGCGTCTGATACCCCGAGTACCCAGTCTCTCTTTGCTTTCTGTCTTACCCCATTCCTCAAAGGATTTAAGTTTATGCAGTTTTTAAAAAAAAAATCCATCACAATAGAGAATCGGATTGAAAGGAAAATCGGAGTAAGGAAAATAATTCAAATTCAGCTTAGGTGTATGCACGGTAATCCGTGCCATGCTCTGTTGTGTAGTTCTTAGAAGGAGCTGACAGCTTAAGTCAGAGATTCTTAGCAACCAAAGTGCAAAAGGACACATACAGCAGTAAAATGCACAGGGTCTATGGGATAAAACTAGCGTTTGCTCAGGAAATTCTATTTACCTGACACAGAGACCAGACAGAGAGTTCTCCAGTTGGTTCCAATAAACAGGACTCTGGGAGGGCTTCCTGGAAGTCGACGCTAGACAGTGACCTGGGCCCAAACTTACCTCTGTCACTGTTCATCCACAGAACAGAAGCAGTAATCCTAACATTCCCATGTTTAAGATGGGGTAGCAATACGTCCCTCTCAGGGTAATGGTGGGGTTAGATGGAAACACGAGCATCTCCTGGTTTTTTTTGTTTATTAGTTTTCTTAAATTAATTAATTTATTTTTTAAAAATTTGTATTGGGGTATAATTGATTTACAGTGTTATGTTAGTTTCACGTGTACAGCAAAGTGAATCTGTTATACAAATACATATATCCACTCTTGTTTAGATTTTTTCCCATATAGACCATTACAGAGTATTGAGTAGAGTTCCCTGTGCTATACAATAGATAACTAATAAGGACCTACTATAGAGCATCTCCCGTTTAACTACAACTCCCCGCAACAACTTTTCCCTTTCTCCACGGCCACCATCCTAATGCCTGTCCCCTGCATCCTTTGCTTAAAAACTGTTACAGTCACCTTCTCAGTATTCTCACCTACTGTTTCCAACCCGTTTTCAACCCTGCAGCCAGAGTGATCATTTTAATAATGTAAATAGGGATCATGTTGTTTCTTCTCTGCTTAGAAGCTTTAATCCGTCCTTTTGCATTTGGGAGAGAATGTGAAGTTCTTGCCACACCTACGATCCCCTGAGTGGTCTGGCCCTGCACATCTCTCCAGGGCTCTGTCTGCTCTGCTACCCAGCTCTCTTCTCCAGCACTTCCCCATCTGTCCCACCAGAAACTTCACAAACATTCTCTCCCAGAACACTTCCCCCGCCCTCTCCGACTCACTCCTACTCACTCTGACATCTCCATTTAAATGGCATGTCTTAGCTGAGCCATCCTACATCTAATTTCCTTGTCTCATTCTACACCAGCTCCTGTGCTGTTCGCTCTGCAGACTTCACCCCTGGAATTTTACATTTACCGATACGTTCTCTGGGCAATGTTTGTACCCTCCACTGAACTGGAAGTTCACGAGAATAGGTACATCCATTGTCACTTGTATCCAGCTTTCCATCCCTGCACCAAACACAGGGATGGGTCCATATTTTTGGTTCAACTATAGGTTCATATATTTGAACAGATGAAGGATTAACGAATGAATGAAATAAATTCCTAGCCCAGTGTCCTGATTATTACGAGCGCTCAGGGTGAATGGTGGTTTTCCATCTGGCCCTCCTTGTTTTCTCTCACTCCATTCCCAGTTACTGGGGAAAAAAAAAAAAAAAAAAGGTCTCCTTTCCCCTTCTCTTTTCCGCTCCAGGTGAATAGAACTAAGGCCTCAGGCCTGCCCATTCTTCCACCTCAAGCCGCCGGGGAAGGATGTGCCTGGTAGTCAGAGGAGGGCCTGAGTACTGATGTCGAAAGCCAGTTCTGCCTGGGTTCTTCAAGCACGGTTGGAGCAGGTGCAGCCTGAAGGGATGTAACAAGTCTGGGAGGTTCTCTGGCAGAGGAGGATGCACCCACGGCTGGTGGTAGAGAGAGGACATGAAGTGGGAGGAGAAAAGAGACACCTCACAGGTGCTTCCTCCCTAGGTCCCTCTCTTTAGCCTGTCCCATGAGAGAAATAGAAGTGGCATTGGATTCAGCCAGTCCTGGCTGTGAATTCTGACTTCACCTCGTCTGCTTTGTGTGGCCATGGATGGGCTTTTCACCTCTGGGTACTTCTCTCTGTCTAAAATCGAGCTATTGATAACTGCCTCGCAGAGCTAGCAAGTCTAGAGATGGAAGGTTATGGGACTCATCCAGAGGTGCTCAAAAATTTTTGTTCTTTCCTCCTGAAACTCCCCTTCCCTTGAAAACAGTCTGCACCCCAAAGTAAATCAGCTAAAATCTCAATTTTGACAATAGGGTCTACTGGAAAAGAGATTTATGATATAGTCTGAAAGTCAACCCTTTCTTCCCTGAGCCTCAGGTTCTTTGTCAGGGAAATGGGACTGTTATTCCAAGGTGTCTGCTATGGCGAAACAGAACCCCATCCCAAAGCAAAGAACTGCAGTCATCAATATGGTGAGTGGGTGGAGAGGAAGAAAGACAAAGGGACTGAGAAACAGAGACTGAGAGACATGTGCGTCTGGTGGGATTTCCCTAATCAGAAATCAGCAACCTTTCTCTGCGAAAGGTTAATTAGTAAACATTTTCAGCTTTGCAGACCTTACAGTCACGATTGGAACTACTCAACTCTGCCATCTTACCTTGAAAGCTGACACAGACAACACATAAAGGAGTGAACATAATGTGTCCTAATCAAACTTTATTTCCAAAAGCAGATGCTGGTCCAGATTTCACCAGTGGCTCACAGTTTGATGACCCCTACCCTAAACCATCCATATCATACAGGTCACCCGTAGGACTGATCCAGGAAGCAGGAGTGAAATCTCACAATGCTTTGTGAAATGAATCTGGTCTCAGGGCATACATGGTCTTGCTCCTGAAAGGAGTTTTTTGTGAAGCAAAGAGTTTTAGGTTTGGTCAAGTGAATACCCATCTACTCCATCATTTGTTTGGGGTGTGCCAATTCTGATGGTATTTGACAGAACTGACTGTTGAGGTAGCTGGATATGGTAGGTTCCCACTTGGCAGAATTCCACCTTTAGTAACTAGAGGTGACACCGCACACAACAGAAGACTCTGGACTCATAGTCCGGAGATGTGGAGTGAAGTCTGTAGTCCCACCACCAACACACTCGGAGAGCCTTGGCGAGCGTGTGCCCTCTTGGGGCCTCAGTTTTCCTATCTGTGAAACAAGGATATTTACATGTCATGTCATCAAGTCTGAAGCTCATTTTAATCTAACCTACGTTTAGGGAATGATGCTGGGCAGTGTGGGAAACAGGGCCCGGGCCCCCAGCCTCAAGGTGGTTATAACCTCCTTGCTGGGGGAATGCAGCTCACACAGAGAAGCGATGCTGATCAGGATAAGCTCATGTATAACTGAAGGTCCAGATGAGAACTGAAGATGGCGTGTCCAGCCACAGGCACAGGGCTGAGCAGGAGACAGAGCAGTACATCTGCTGCTGATTCCAGCAGTGCAAGCACCCAGCATCAACCTCCCAGCCCAGCTCTGCGCGGGTGGCTGTGTGGCCTTGGGCGAGTCTCTCTCACTCTCTGGACCTCTGTTGGTTGCTCAGCCAGCTCTAGAAACTCAGGTTATCTGATTCCCAATCCCATGCACTTTCCTCTAATCTTGGCTGATTAGTTCCCCAGCAAAGAGAAGCAGGGCATGAATGCCCCCTGCTTTTGCTTATTTTTTTTGTTTTAGTTTCTTGTTTTAATGTGATAGTTCTTAAGCTGAGATTTTCTGTAGTAATAAGAACTCTTGAATTGAAGCAGAACTTTGTATGGATGTGTGAATTTTTTTTTTCCTTTTGATTCTCCCCCGCCCCCCGACACACACACACGTGCGCGCACGCGCGCGCACACACACGCACAGTTTAATCATGTTTTAGAGGAAGTGGACAGGTGAGGGAAAGTTCAATCCATATCTGCAGAAAAGGAGGCCTTTCGGGATTGAGGGAAGGAGACTGTTCTGAAATTTAATCTGAGAATGCCTGGATGGAGCAGAGACTCCAGGAAATGGGGGTGGAGTGGGGCGAAAGCTGAACGTCAACAGAACAGTACCTGCCATGTATGAGGGCAGAGGTACAAGGTGTTCTGAGGGTGGGGATGGGAGAGATCCCAGAAGCTAGGTAGAGCCCAAGGCTATAGCTTCGGGAATAATGGCAGATGGGCTGGGGAAATAAGAAGGAGCCATGCCTTGACCATTGGGGAACCCATCCCATTCTTTATCCAACATTTCTCATCAAGCCACAGCATTTCTTTCAGCCCTAAAGATAATCCATCCAGTTGTCCATTTTATGCACACACAAAAAAACAAGGCTCAGAGAAGGGAAGCATATTTCCCAAGGTTAAAGTGTCATCTCTTCAAATGACAAAGCAAATGGGGCAAAAGGTTAACAATAGGTGAATCTGGGCAAAGGATGCATGGCTCTTCTCTGTACTCTTCTTATCCTTACAGCTTTTCCATAAATTTGAGATTATTTCCAGACTAAAACAGTAGGTAAACAGTAGTCCTTCTAGGTTGATTACAGGTTTCGAAATCAGCACCCAGGGGTCCAAATCCTTGCTCTGCTGTTTCCTAGCTGCATGACCTAGGGCAAGGCACTTTCCTTCTCTGAGCCTCAGTTTCTCCTGGGTAAAGAAGGATAAGCCTAATGTTAATCCTTCTACTCTTCCTTAGGCTTGTTGCAGGGATTAAAGGAGGGAATGTATGCAAAGGACATGCTTAGTGGAGCGTGCCTGCCATGTGATCAATGTTCACTAAATGGTAACCAGTTAAGTACAGCAAATCAGTGTCTGGGCCAGGCGTGACTCCATGGCCTTTTTCCAATGTGCTGGTCTGCAAATCGGTCTTGCTTCTAGGGGAAAAAAAAAAAAAAAAAAAAGGCC